CTAAAGAAATAAAAGTAGTGCATGATGTTTCGTGTAATAGGAGTCGGAGAAAACGAAGTAGAAGTAGCCATAGGCTAGGGAAATATGAAGGAAATGCGAGAAAAAGCAGAAAATGATGTTCTAATTGCTACAAAACGCTTAAAAATGAGAAAGGTATGAAAGTGGCATTGGCAAAAGCAAGTAATATACTCACATTTTGCGAAGACTGCAATATACAGCCGGCATTATGTATTCCGTGTTTTAAGAAAATCCACGAATAGGCTAAGTAATTTGTATCAATAATGTTAGTAGAATTATTTGTTATTTTTTGAGATTTGTTACCACAGCCACGGTAAGATGTAATATTAAAATGTGTTTTATTGCCTAAACATTATATTATCTACTACCTTTATTTAAAAATTAATTATGTTTTGTAATATAAATTTAAGTTTAGTCACTAGTATTTTTCCCTTTACTTATATAATTGTTTTTGAAGAGAAAAACAAGACGTGCTAATGTTTAAGTTAAGTTTTTAAATGATTTTGATTCTTAAAATATACTTTTTTAGACTTCAAATGTTTTTAGTGCTTACACAACTCCTTTCCGAAAACCACGGTGAATCTAGACATATATATCATTCCTGTAGCCGTCACTGTAGTATTATATTTCCCAGAATAAACTGTACAATTTTAGGTTAAATAAGATATGCACTAGACCGTGACCCACGGGTGGGCGCACACGGCTCTTGGCAAGAAACGGTGTGACCCACCGGTGGGTCACATTGTCACGAAGGTGTTAATTGACTTACAACTTTCCCGCTTGCTGCTGCCCTTCGGTTTCACTCCAGTGCCTCGTTAAGATAAACTACCAGTACCACTAACGGTGTCTTACCCACCGAGAGCTGAAAATCTATGTGACCAGTGTGACCATTGATCAGTCATCAGTGGCTCACTCCTTAGCACGTCCTCTGTTCGACATCCGCTGTGGAACTCACTGATTACTGATCTACTGATACTGATCTATGTGGCAATCAGTAAACATACAATAATTATTATCAATAAAATGTTTATGGGCAGGTGGTCAATAACTGTCTAATATAAAAACGTACACCGAGTAATTGGCATAGATAATTTAATAGAAAGGAAGCACATTAATGCAATTATTAACATTAATTTACTGATTCTAAACATAATAGAATAACTTAAGATGATGCATTTTATGTAGCAAAGCATACCTTATAAAATATACCTTATTCCAATACTGGCGGTATTTACGATACTATTTTTGCTAAAATCTGTTGAGACGCAGCACGACATCTGATAGATCTGTCGCTAGATAAAAACATTGTTGTTGTTTGTTTGTGTTTAAATGACTGCGGACACTAAATCCATTCGCCAATCTTACAATTTGAGGTGTAGTGTGTGTGTGTGTGTAGAGTAATTGTCTTGATACTTAGCAAAGTCGACGTCATTGTCTTTGCTAAGAGACGCTAATTGTATCCGAACGTCTGCGGTCCCTCCGGTGTGTACCGATCACACAAGGATAGAAATTATTTTCATTTATTAATTTTTTTTTTTAATAAACGAAAATATCCACCCAGGTGGGATTCGAACTCACGACCTTTAGATTTAAAGGCAGGCGCTCTTACCACTGAGCCACAGAGGGGGTTGATAAAAACATTAAAATTATGTTTTAATCGTTAACATCATTAAATATATTATATATGCATATAGCAGGACTATTTAAACATAAATTACAATTATTGCATTAAAACAAATAAATAAAATCAAATCAAATAATATGAATATTATGATAAAATAATCAACTAAATTAAATAGTATGAGCAAATGTAAAACAAGGAATTTCATTATTGGTCAAGAGGAATTTGTTTTGCAGCAAATCAAAAATAAACATTAAATCATTTCATATTATTTATCGAATATGTGATAATTTACCGTAAAATTGATAAATCATAACATCCTGCTTCAAGAATTTAAATTACTTCAAATTTCGAATGTTATTTAGATCAGATCTAACTGATTGTCGCTCTATAAAAATTTTAATCCAGAGCACGGATACTCATATAAATGTCTTAGAATCTGCAAAATAAGTAACTCCTGAACTACATGACCTTATCGTGCTTTTAGCTAATGTCAAGTCGATGCTGGACATGACTGCTATAGCCGTCATACAGCCTCCGGCAGAGAGCCTTATTTTATAAATCCATCTTACGGTGGCAGCAGGAACATAAAACGTGTGAAAGGGATATAGAACTACAATAGTATACATTTATTATACAGTAATGTTTGTTGTATACAGTTTATACTTTTATGCATTAGTATAGAACAAGAGTTTATACTGTATGTTGTGCACGTGCTTGTCCTAGTTTT